AGGTTACACCAACAAGTAGAGGGAGCAAGCGGAGAGTCCATGAAAAATGCCTTAAAGGACGAATTTCACGATGAAAAAGCAACCCATTTCAAATTAACCTAGGGATGGTGAGTGGTACACGAAAGAAGGAAGAACCATGAGAAACGGCCCAGAACCCGAGAAATGGGACCCCTTCCTTGCCCGTTGATTTGAGCATTGATGCGACTCTCTCTTCAACACTACGCTCTCTCAGCTATCTAATCACTCGCCACGTATTGAACTACGGCGAGTGATCAGATGATCGGTGGGCGGAGATCGCCGGACCCGCCAGCTTTGAGGCATGATAGGTCGCCGAGGTCAAATTTTTCCATGCGAATTGCGCGTCAGTTCGCACCCTCAGGAGGTCCGTGGGTCCCTCAACTAGGTCAGTTTCCCTTTCTTCGACCTTCATTCTAATCGTGAATTCCTCCTTTAAAGCAAATGCTAGAGATTGCGAGCAATCACTATCAATTCGAGTAATTGTCCGTGTGTCATCTCCCAAAAAATTCTTCTACATTCGCTGGGTGCTTGGAGACCCTCATCAGCATGCCGTGGCTCTTGCCTACAGAATGAAGGGGCGATGGTAAATGTGCAGCAGAGAGTTGCTACGACGTTTAAGTGAAACAGTATTCTGCAGTGGCAAGAAGCCAACTGTTTTGCTACTTGGCCCGTGTTCTGCACCCTGAATATCTATTTTCTGCTTTTACGCTGTTTTCCCATTCTTCGCTTCCTCCACTATTTCCAAATAATGCAACCAGCGGTCTTACCAAATGCTGACCCTCTCCTCTTCACCAAGGCAATTGTGTAGGTCCCTTGTTCACGGTTACTCCATCCTGGGTCACCCTGTTCTCCACTCCAATCACTCCATTGCAATATGTAGGTTCTCGGCCTTCATTTTATAATCCCTTTTGACTTCATCCGATGAATGTAGGAACTAGAAATACGAGAAGCTCTCAACTTAGAAGGGTCGCGATGTTCCTTGGAAGTGGATGGTAGGGAGACACGTGGCGCCGTTCGCGATGACGCGATCAAATCTCAGATCACTGCCATCCAAGCTAATTAAGCCTCACTCGTTGGATGCTTATTCCCTGCAGCAATCCTTACATTCAGATGCCTACGAATTTGAATGGAATTTGAATGCGTGGCGCTTACCGAAAAAGAGACTGACCAATGCAGAACACGATCTCTTCCGACGACAAACTTGTATCTACCTTTTGACTTCAGCGGAAAATGAAGCATTTTAGGTTGTCGGTTTTGGCATCAACTGCACTCATCCGAGCGCGGTCTCTTCCCTGCTCAAGTCGTTGCGTTCTATTCAGCAGGATAAGGAAGTCTTCGTGTATCCCAATAGTGGAAAACACGAATCGAATGGGTAAATTTTTGTTGCAGTGATTTGCCAAAAACACGAATAACGTGATGGAGCTCCCAAAATATGTTCAGCTGTACACGTTCAGAGGTGAAGTTAACCCAATGGACATTTTTCTGAGCTCAATGAAGGAATGGGTTGAACTTGGTGCTACAGCAATCGGCGGATGTTGCGGTATTGATGCCCAAGGCATTGGCTGCATCAGAGAGAAGGTCAACGAGTTGAACACAACCATGCTGCACTGAAATATAACTTATCTGGTTCTAAATCATTGTTGTGATACGAGTATAGCCTGATCAGAACAGAAATCTCATATCAAGAGATAACCATTTCTTTCTCATATTCAGATACGGCTATGAATAAATTTATACCGCTTTTGCTTTATTCCTGTAGAAAGTCTAATATGACAGAAGTGCACGGGTGTCGGTCAGGGGGCTCACGTTGCGACATCGCTGAGGAGAAGTTGTGAAGAACGGCGTCGCGGGCGCGACATAATCGCTGCAATCTGCGGCAAACATGATTCTTGGTCTCTGGTGTCCCACAGACCTAGGTAGTGGCTGACCATGCACATTTCTTTCTTTCAGAGGGGTGAGTACGACAACTCATATACGGTATTGTGCTGTATCTGTCCGCGCAATAGCTCTTACCGATGCGGCAATGTACGGCCTTAGCACTGACGATGTCAGATATCTTCGAAACCCGTTCAAGGCTAGAAAACAACAGTCAAAATGGCCAAGCTCCACATTATCTCGCGGGATTTTTACTGCTTCGACTGTTTTTTTTTCTTCACTTTGGCTCATCTTCTTTTCGTTTGTGACCGACTTCCAAATCAGGGCTTTTGCTTTCAAACCACCCACTTTATTAGCGACAGAATGTCTGCTGAACATAAGGTAAACAGAAAAACTGCCTTCCTGGCTGTCAATATCACCTTTTGAGGTCTCATCGTCACACTCCTGGCCCAGCAATCCTAAATAATCAGGGACGGTAGTAAAGTGCCATAGACTGGGAGTCAAAGGTGGTGAACTGCGGCCGTAAACGGCGAGGAGAAACAGGGAGGTGACCCTAGGATAGACGGCGAACTTCAGCACGATGTTGGCAAAACTGCTGCATCGCCCGGAATTGAACTCTCTGCTATTCACTTGACAGCGGGCACTGATACCACTGCGCCATCAACGCTGCATTGCTCATGCTGGGGTTGCTGAGGTAGAGAACAGCCGTCCGGGGGAGAGGGGACCAG